TGATGAGAAGAGCAAACCAACAAGATCATTCTTCAAACACATTCAAATCATCTTTAAGTTATTTTAACATAAAAAAACGATTTAACAAAGTCACTATCAAATCATAGAACAAGAACCACATTAATTCAACTCTTGTCTTTAACAAATCCATCAAATCAGATATCGAAGAACGAAAAATATGTCAATTTTATTCTCGTTTTCAACAAATTCACAAAAAATCTCCAAATTAAAGATTAAGATTCACGCTAATCAGACCCTCGTCCTCAACAAATCTACTGTCATAATCAAATCGAGGATCAAGAAACATGCTTATCAAACTCTCATCTTCATTAAATTTGTAAAGATACCACCAAATTAAAAATCAAGAAACATGCCAATCTGATCCTCATTATTACTAAATCCACCTAGAATTTGAGGAATTGCACATAAGAAGCATGTGAGAGAAAATTAACACCATTTTATTAAATCAAGTCAAATAAATTAAATTATTATAATTTTGATATTACTTTAATGTTAGTATTACATACAAAATTTATCGCCACATGGATTAGCCAACATTTACATACAATGACTCTGTTCCATCCACACTTTTTTCGCTCTCCCTCCACAATTTTTCTTGAAACTTTTTTAAAGCACAAGCAATCACTTTTATAAGGATTATTCAATGGGTACGGTCCATGGAAAGTAAATCACTTTTAGATATGTTAGGAAGGAGAAAAATTAGAAAGGATAGAAAGTAGTCGGTATACACTTCTATCATTTAAAGAAAATAAGTAGGAATAATATATTTTTTTTTCTTTATGTTTGGTTAGATGGATGAAAAATAAAATTGACTAAATTTTTTTTTTTGTGATGGCTAAGATTAGGGGTGATATTCGAGTTGTCTCTTGTCCAATTCGTGTTAAGTAATTATGAGTTTGTGTCGAACATTAGTCACACTTTAACTTAACTAGGGGTGCAATTCAGACGAATTGAACAATCAATCCTAAATATATAATTTTCAACCCTAACCCTAACTTTAACCCTACCTCGAGTTAAAGAACTCCACCCGAACACTGTCCGAGTTTAATTTGGGCGAGTTCGGGTTGAATTCGAGTTAATGATTTTGGACTAATTTCGGGTTACTTTACAGGTTCAATTCAGTTTGAGTTCGGGTAGAACCCAAAATAGACTTGTTATTCTAAACCTAATACATATATTACATAATATTCACTTAAATTAACAATCAATAACTTCAACCAAGTTTTTAACATAATTACAAATTCATAAACATAATCCATACATTTTATTCATAACAATGCACGATTATTGTTCATCTGCTTTCACACCAAAAATGAAAAAATCAGTACTAATACATTTTTTTTTTAATTTGTCTAATACTAATCAGTAATTAATTTTTTTTTTAATTTGTCTGGTTTGGGTTGAACCCGTGAACTCGATGCCTTAACCCGAGCCCAACCCAAATTGAATTCGGATTGAAGTTTTTTGATCCAAACCTAATCCAAGTATTAAAAACTCTTGCCTAAGCCCCAATATTTTCGGGTTGGACTCGGGTTGCCCAACCAAGTTGAATCCCTAAACTTAACTCATTTAACTAATTGTATCATGTCGAGTTGCGAGGACTTGCTTATTTTCGTGTCGTGTTTGTGTTTAAATTCATGTTGACCCACATAAACTTTGAATAAAAAATTTAACAGTAATATTTTGTTTCACTTAATTGAATCCATGTTAATATTTTTTCGATAAATTAAAAATTAACACTTAATTGAATCCATGTTAATATTTTTTCTACAAATTAAAAATTAATTTAAATAAATTTATTAATAATAAGCATTGTTTTAAAACCTGGCCTGGCCCGGTGAACCGGTCCCCTAACCGGGCCGGTTTTGTAATTAGATCGTTTGAGTAAAGAACCCGGAATAANCGGGTTGACCCGGTGAACCAGTCCCCTAACCGGGCCGGTTTTGTAATTAGATCGTTTGAGTAAAGAACCCGGAATAAAATCGGTGAATCGGTCAAAAAACCGGTAACCCGTAAAAACCGGACGGGTTTACAAAATCGGCCAGTTTTGTTTCTTTAGTATAAATATGTCTTTTTTTTACATTTTTGTGTCTTTTTCTTTTCCATTTTTNCCGGACGGGTTTACAAAATCGGCCAGTTTTGTTTCTTTAGTATAAATATGTCTATTTTTTACATTTTTGTGTCTTTTTCTTTTCTATTTTTGTGTCTTTTATAAATATGTCTTTTGTCTTTTTTACATTTTTACATTTTTTTTACACTTATGAATATTTGCGTTGATTTGTTAATTGAATACAATTAAGTGATTTAGGTTTGATAATTTTGTTTGATTTAATATATATTAAACATGTTATTTTTATAACTATTTTANGTTGATTTGTTAATTGAATACAATTAAGTGATTCAGGTTTTATAACTTTGTTTGATTTAATATATATTAAACATGTTATTTTTATAACTATTTTAATTTTTTAGTCTATTTATCATCTTTAATAATTATTTTTTATTTTTTTATTATATCACCGGTTCGACCAGTGACCCAGTGGTTGAACCAGAAATCCATTGATCCGGTCCCTTCTCCGAGTTGATGTCCAGGCCGGGTTTTAAAACTATGATAATAAGTAAAAATATCTTTTTTATATAACAATTGTNCCATTGACCCGGTCCCTTCTCCGGGTTGATGTCCGGGCCGGGTTTTAAAACTATGATAATAAGTAAAAATATCTTTTTTATATAACAATTGTGTCAATACTTGATATATAATTACAAATAATTAATATTTTATGTCTATAATATTAGTTAAACATATTAGTTTCGTATTACCATTACCATACAAACAAGAAAATAGAAAAAATATTTATTTTTAAATAAACAAGTTGATGGTGTCAATTTTAATTTTGACTGATTGAACTGCATATGAGTTTTTAATATTTTTTGTTTGCGTGTCAGGTCATTTTCAAGTTCGTGTTGAATTATAATCAAGTTCGTGTCATAAAATTCATGTCGAGTTCGAATCGTGTCATCATATTGAATTGAAAATTTTTCATCCCGAGTAAAGATGGAAAAAATATATATATATATTTTTAATTAATTTATTTTTAATTTTTTAAAAAAAATATATATAAATACATATTTTATCATTGTATTTTTATATGAAATTAATGTATACATAATATGTATATATTAAAAGATATATAGACAATAAGTTGCATATCAACACAAATAATTAAGGGATTGATTTTAGTGAGTTGAAAGGAAAGTTAATTCATCCTTCCTTACCAAATATGATATTTTATTTATCTCTCCAGCTTTTCATCCTTCAATTTTTCCATCATACAAAACGGAACATTAGAGTAATGCTAGTGAGACTTAATAATTTGATATAATTTATCGACCTAATGATATAAATTTATTATAATTATTAAATTAACATCAAATTTTAATATTTTATAGGACTCATAATTAATCATAATAAATTATATTAATAAATTAAATCAATATATTTATATTAGTAAAGAAAAATTTTAACAACACCCTCTCTAGTTTATCATATCTTCAAGGACACCCCCTCTAATTTCTGAATCTTCAATGACACCCTTCTAGTTTAATTTAAACATCACTAACACCTCCTATCATTAAACTACTATTTGTAACAAAAAAAATTCATCTAAAATACAAAAAATGCCCCTATATAACCTTCAGTAATTTTTTTACATAAAATTTTATTAAAATTTCTGTTAAAATTTTTAAAAAAATCATAAATAACAATTTTAGTGTATAATTTGTTAGTAAATACTAATTTGTTATTTACTAATTTGTAAATTTAAAAAAACAAATCGATCCTATTAAAATTTTTTTTTACATATTAAAATTTGAGTCGATTTGAACTCTACTTGAGTTGTTAGCGTTGATTAAAATTCTCTTTCGAGTAGATTAAAATTTATATTTTTTTTACTTATTAAAATTCGTGTCAATTAAAATTAGATTTATTAAAATTTAAGTCAATTAAAATTCATATATTTTTATATATTAAAATTTGGGTTGATTAAAATTCAATACGAATTAATTAAAATTTGATTTGAGTCGATTAAAAATAATTTTTAATTGGCTCAAATAAAATTTTAATTAGCCCAAATTCTAATACGTAAAAAAAATATAATTTTTTAATTGGCACAAATTTTAATATGTAAAAAAAAATTTTAATTAGCTTGAATCGAATTTTAATCAATTTGAATTTAATTACATAAAAAAAATAGAAAACAGAGGGAGTCTCATTGAAAATATATTTATCTAGAGGGGGTCTCATTGAAGATATGTTTATCTAGAGGGGGTGTAGATGAAGTTTGTCCTCAAATATATTNATGAAAGGATTTGTTTTGAAAGTTATATCTATTTATGCTACAATTGAACTTGGTTATTGATTGGTTAATTAGGCAAATGATTTTTTTTTTTTGTTTGAAGTAAGGACTCGTTAATTTGATAGTGGAATAGGATGTTNCTCAAATATATTATGGACAATTTAGTAAAATTGTATTTTACTTAATATTTTTAATCTGACAAGGGGTATCATTGAAGATTCAGAAACTAGGGTATCTTTAAAGATATGATAAATTAGAGAGGGTGTGATTGAAATTTTTCTTATTAATAATTGATTCACTAATTTTGTTTAATATTTTATTATTAATTATTATTGATATCACGCCTCAATGGTGTTATTTTATTACACCCGATATTCACTCGTGCACGACATCCGAGAAAGGTAATAAAGTGGAGCACAGCGACTCCCATCAGTCCAAGAAACGGAGGAAATGGGGCCCAGAACTGGGCGCCTCAGACGCGCAAATTATCTTCGCCAGCCACAGGCACCCTTTCCCCATGTGCTTTTTCACAGAGCAATGCAGCATAACTCATGTATACACATTCACTACACCCTTCGTGAGAGAGAGAGAGAGAGAGAGAGAGAGAGAGACAGAGTATATCCAATGCCCTCCGGCCTACCAATTTGTTGCTCTTTCTTTTACTTCACTTTCGTTCTCTGCTTGATTGGTGTTACTTTAGCTGGCGACCCGTATGTCTTCTACGATTGGACTGTCTCATACGTCACAGCTTCCCCTCTTGGAGTTAAACAACAGGTTCTTTGCTTTTCTATTTGGTTATTTTATTAGATCTTCACTTCAATGTGTGTGTTTGTGTAAAGTGTTGTTGGGTGCATAGTATTGCTGAGGTGGTTTTTAGCAAACACGGTGTACTACTCGGATTACCAACCTGGGAACCAAACCCTGTTCATGGATCATGACTGTGAGGATCTTTTGTTTTCCATCTTGTGATTAAGGAAAAAAATATTTGTTTCTAAATGGCAAAAACGTTTCTGTTTTTGTGGAAACCAAAACGAATCAGAACAGTGATTGAATAAGTCCAATGATTGAAAGGAAATGGTCGAAATTCCTATGTTGTGATTCGGTATGCTTACAATGACAAATGAGTGAGACTTGATTATAGCTTCGAAGAATTGTGGTTGCGTTTATTGTTATAGCATCCTGAAGAGGTCTGATTGGTAGGACTAATGGGTGTCTTCTAGTTGGTCGCCTTAAGCACCAGTTGCATGAAGGATTTGTTTTGAAAGTTATATCTATTTATGCTACAATTGAACTTGGTTATTGATTGGTTAATTAGGCAAATAATTTTTTTTTTTTGTTTGAAGTAAGGACTCGTTAATTTGATAGTGGAATAGGATGTTTTCTAACTTAATTGCTGAGTCTCATTTTTCCTCTGTTGTTTTGTCTTTCGTTGCCTTTGATAATAGGCCTAAATATCCTGTCTCCAACGGGTTCTAACTGAGTGCAAAGCACTCTCCCCTTGGTTGTCTCTTTATTCGTCGGAGAACATTTACTGTGATTTTCCTTAATAAGTTGGATGGATTGCCATTGAAATTAGGGTAATGTTATTTTAAATATGTATTTGTGTCACGTTTTTGGTTTTGATACCAAAATTTGTTAAAATTTGCCTGTCCAAGTAGATATCACAAAAAAAATTGTGATTCGATAAATCTTGTATTGATTGGTTGCAGTATTAAAGGGTGGATTATAGAGTCATAATGGATTAAGACTCTCTAATCTAATCTTATACAATTTTTTGGTTGTAAAAACACTATATTATATATAATCTCATTGTAAATTCTTATCCAAATAATACACTGTATCCGAATTATTAAGTCGATTATAATACCACCTTTATAATACCACTTGAGAGATGGTATTATAATCCAATTTAAGCGTATTAAATTGTAAATTTACTATTTTACTCAATAGATAAACAAAAATATTAATAACTATACAAGATTGATGATTCTTTACTCAATATGTAATTGTTACTCTATTATCCCATTCTTAATCCAGTGTCTTGCCAAAGCACTGAATTACAATGCGCAATATTTTTCTCCCGTAGTTAATCAAGTATTTTATCCACCTATACGAAATTAACCTTTATTATCTAATACAATTCATTCTTTTACAATACAGTAACCAAAAGAGCCCCAAGTATTATGTTTTCTTCCGAGCGATAAAGGGAGTGTGGGGTCAATAGCCAATTCATTCGCTTCCATGCTAACTCGTGTAGTCCACGAGAGAGATTGAATGGTGAGTTGAATTATAATTATGTAGCAGCCGCATAATCAATTGCATTATTTCACCTTTAGTGGCATGGTTCAAAGGTGTGATATCAACCATCAACTTGGAGAGCAATGAGACGCATTTGTTGTAGTGTTACGAAACGGTATCAAGCAATACACATGAAATGCAAGATAGAAAACGAAGTTGAACATGCCGAGATATTTAGGTCATATTTCGGCATCACAGAATGGTATCGGATGATACATCTTAGACAACTCGGTTGACTCAGAGTTGTCTCGGACAATTCGGCCAAGTCACATGAGATTTATGGTATACTTTTTGAACAATAATTATATTGGCCTTTCTACTTTACAATGGATATTAGAATCAGATTTTTCAATTGGAACTTCACATCTTATGCCAGAAGTTCCTGCATTTAACGTCAACCGCTTCACATTCAATACACTTTAGGGTTTTCTAGTTCAATAAAACTTCTGACTGATGGAGGTTGTAATACCTATATGTTGCCTTGCCTTGAAATTTTTTTTTGGACAATCAGTGTTTGTTGCCTTGTCATTCCTTTAGCATTATATAAGGTGATTTTTAGGGGCCACCCTTTGTTTCATTGATGTCTAATCTCTTTAATGTAGAAGTAAGGTTGCATACATTTAATCTTTTTCAAAACCCGCACTAGCAGGAGTCTTGTGCACTAAGTTGAATTTGGCACTGCAGACTTGTGCTTGTTCAACCTGTGTTTTTAAGATGGCGTTTCTGTCTATCGAGCTCTGTTATCAATATTTGAGCTAATCAACTGACATTTCACCTGTTAACCACGTATATTTGACTCTTCATTGTGAATTTTTATTAACTCTTTCTTTCTCAATATGTGCCAAATTTGCTTCAAGGATATTTTGTTGCTCTTTCCTTCTTTCTTTTTCCCTTCAACATTAATGTTCTTTTGTTACTTCAGTTTTTTGTTTATTGCTGAATTTGTATTGTCATCTGATAAAATGTTGTTAGCTGATGTCTGCTGAAAATCAAATTTTAGGTGATTGGGATTGATGGGCAGTTTCCAGGACCTATTCTCAATGTCACTACAAACTGGAATGTTGTAGTTAATGTCCACAATACTCTCGATGAGCCTTTGCTTCTCACATGGTATATGTATATGTTGTACCCTGAAAAAGTTTATTCCATTAGCATATAATGATGATAATGATGGAATTATGCCATTTTGAATACAGGAATGGCATCCAACATAGAAAAAATTCGTGGCAAGATGGTGTCTCGGGCACAAATTGTCCTATCCCTGCTGGATGGAATTGGACATATGATTTTCAAGTTAAAGATCAAATTGGCAGTTTCTTTTACTTTCCTTCCCTAAATTTCCAAAGATCTGCTGGTGGATATGGAGGAATAACCATAAACAACAGGGACATCATTCCAGTACCCTTTGGGATGCCAGATGGAGATATTACGCTCTTTATTAGCGACTGGTATACAAAGAGTCATAAGGTCAGTAGTATACATGTATTATCATTGATTTTGTTCCATGGCTGTACGCTTGTTGTTTAGGTATAAATACCTCTTTTTATGGGGATACAGGAACTTAGGAAAGATGTTGAAAATGGTGGTGTCCTTGGAGCTCCTGATGGAATTTTATTTAACGGATTAGGCCCTTACCGTTATGATAACGCACTTGTTCCTGATGGTATTGCTTACCAGACGATAACTGTAGATCCAGGTAACATCTTGGATGCATACATGGTGCTTAGTTCTACGAGTTACTATTACTTTCCATTTATTACAACCTAAATGTTGTATCAATTGTGTGCCACCAGTTGTGATCACACCCATTTTCTTAATGCTCCATCTTGGTGGATAGGTTATTATCTTCAATTTCCATTGGATGCCTAGTGGTACCTGTTACAAATCTCTATTTCATAATTCATATTTTATGTCATTCCCAAGCAATTGATACATTTTCTAACTAATATGTAAGCTCTTAAAGATGTTCTTCTGAAAAAATTTACTCGACAAGGAGGTTGTTGATATCCACAAAACCTGTTCATGTGGAGTTTCCAAGAAAATTAAATTGGAATATGGGTTTACTGTGGTATGTTGGTGTAGGAATGCTTCCATCTGAAACTCCAGAAAGGATTGTGAATGAACATACATAGACACACAACCGAAATACCACTTAACATTTTGTACTCTGCACAACTTCCGTGGTTGCAACATCACGTTGCTAATCGGAAGCAAGTATTCAGTTATATTCATTGCGCTTCCCTTAATGGCTAAAAGTTGGGTGTGTTACGTGTAACAGGAAAAACATATCGCTTGAGGGTGCACAATGTTGGTATCTCTACAAGCTTGAATTTCAGAATCCAAAGTCATAACTTGCTTCTTGTAGAGACTGAAGGGTCATACACGGTGCAGCAGAACTACTTGAACATGGATATCCATGTGGGTCAGTCATATTCATTCCTCGTCACGATGAATCAAAATGCTAGCAGTGATTATTACATTGTTGCCAGTCCACGGTTTGTCCATTCCTCTGCTTGGGCTAGAGCTATTGGAGTTGCTATCTTGCACTACTCTAATTCCCAAGGGCCTGTTTCAGGTCCACTTCCAGACCTCCCTATTGAATATGACACATATTTCTCAATGAATCAAGCAAGATCCATAAGGTTGTAATTCAGCTAATTTGTTTTCGGGAAAATATAAGAAATCTCCCTGAGAAATATGGTTAATTTTGAGGTGACAAGATATGCATTCTCATCATGCAAAACTCTTTCCTGATATTGGAGTTAATGAGCAATCGAAATGGAGAAGAAATGGTTTTTTTAACTGCTGTAGANCCTCCTCTTAATTTTGAGGTGACAAGATATGCATTCTCATCATGCAAAACTCTTTCCTGATATTGGAGTTAATGAGCAATCGAAATGGAGAAGAAATGGTTTTTTTAACTGCTGTAGATTACTAATTTCACAAGGAGGGGAGTTGGGTAATGCTACACCATAGCTTCATGGGGAAGGTTTCTAATATTTTCCCTCTCTGACCTCGTTTTTTTTTTGCATTTTATTATCTATTCAGTTTATTGGGGATATCTTCTAGATTTTCTCATAAATTTGGCCCGACTATTTTTTACAATCTTGTGGTTGGTTTGTACTTTGCAGATGGAATGTTTCTGCTAGTGCTGCTCGTCCAAATCCACAAGGGTCTTTTAACTATGGTCAGATTACTGTGACCGACGTGTATGTGATCCTTAATAGACCTGCAGAGCATGTAGATGGAAAATGGCATACTACTCTTAATGGTATTTCATACTTAACGCCTTCTACTCCCCTAAAGCTTGCTCAGCAATTTAACGTTCCAGGGGTTTACAAGCTTGATTTCCCAAATAGACTGATGAACAGACCTGCAAAAGTTGATACATCTATAATTAATGGTACTTACAGAGGATTTATGGAAATAATATTTCAAAATAACGACACTAATGTTCAGAGCTACCATATGGATGGCTATGCATTCTTTGTTGTGGGGTAAGCACTAAGTTTTGCAATTATTCTTAGTTTGTATTTACTTGTTTTTGGAACTTGGGACCTGAATGATCTGTTATTTATTGCTTGGGCCATAGGATGGATTTTGGAGAGTGGACAGAGAACAGCAGAGGCAAGTACAACAAATTGGATGGTGTTGCTCGCTGCACTACTCAGGTTTGTTTACCTTAATATCTTGTCTCCTTGGTTTTTTGAACGTCACAATTGGTTGAATTAAGAGAATTTGTATTCAAAATCCTTTTTCTTCTTCGTTTTCTTTTATTAGTACTAGCAATGCACTAAATGCGTTGCACGTGAATAATTTTTCTTAAAAAAATTAATAAATAAATATTTAGTATATGAGTACTTGAATTAAATATTATCTGAAATTTACCAAATTTATTTTTTCATCTCTCATGCTCCATTATAAAATTTTTAAAAACTTTGTATATTTTTAAGAGTTATTATTCTAACTTTAAGAAAAATAATAAAAAAAAAGAAGAAATAATTAAAGTTTTATTTTGTTTCTATAATTTTGTAATTGAAAGTGATTTTTTAGTAATATTTGAAAATTAAGTTTTTTAAAATTAATTTGATTAAGATTTCACTTATAAATCATTGAATAAAAGAAAAAAATTATCAATATACCAATCTTATTAGAACTTATTGTATTTAGGATTAGTTAGGTTAATTGAGATAAAATTTAATATACAACGTCATAATATATATTAAAAATCATATTAAATTTTTAAAAAAATGCAAATTTTCACATAAAATGTTAACATAATTTAGAAAAATTACTACAACTAAAGAATCTTGTAAAACTATATATACATTATTTTTTATTTTAAAAATAAAATGGTTAAACATTTTGATGAAAAATAAAATGGTTAAATATTTTGATGAAAAATAAACTATACATATGTAGTCATAATATTATCTTTATAAATGAAATGAGTATTATTATATTGATGAAGTTTTTGAAGATTTTTTTGAAAATTTTGTTAAAATGTAAAATAATGTATATATTTTTTAAGAATAATATAATCAATCAAAAAGTTTCATAAAATTTGACATTTATAAATAGAGAATAGATAATTAGAAAATTAATTTGATTAAAGTTCTATTTATAAATCATTGAGTAAAATAAAAATAATTATCAATATACCAATTATATTAGAGTTTTACTATATTTAGGATTATCTAGGTTAATTGGAATCAAATTTAATATACAATGCTATAATATATATTATAAAGCATATTAAATTTTTTTTAAAAAAAAATCAAGTTTTCACATAAAATTTTAGCAAAGTCTGAAAAGTTTACTGCGACTAAAAAATCATGTAAAATTATATATACATTTATTTTTTATCTTAAAAATGAAAAGGTTAAACATTTTGATGAAAAATAAAATATAAATATGTAGTCATAATATTATCTTTATAAATAAGGTGAGTAATATTATATGGTGGAATTTTTGAATGCTTTTTTAAATATTTGTTAAAACTTATAATGATGCATATATTTTTTAAGAGTAATATAATCAATCAAAAAGTTTCATAAAAATTGACATTTATATATAGGGAATATATAACTAAACGTAATATTAGATGCAATTTAGAGATTTAATTGCATAAGGATATGATGGTAATTTAGATATTAAGTGTGGAATGATAGAATGAATTTTTTAATTCTTTATAAGGGTAAAATAGTGAATTAAAAGTTTTTCATGTTAAGGTACTTTTATTAGTGGTATAAANCTTGACATTTATATATAGGGAATATATAACTAAACGTAATATTAGATGCAATTTAGAGATTAATTGCATAAGGATATGATGGTAATTTAGATATTTAGTGTGGAATGATAGAATGAACTTTTTAATTCTTTATAGGGGTAAAATAGTGAATTAAAAGTTTTTCATGTTAAGGTACTTTTATTAGTGGTATAAATATAAATATAAGAAACTTAATTATTTAGGACGAGAATAATGTGTTGGTAGTATATCTTGAAATTAATTATGGTTGATAAAATCCCTGGACATTCAATGGACATTAGGCACTTGCTACACAATGACCCCTTATAAAAGCTCCAGTTTTCTATTGTGGCCCGGAAAGTTTATTGACGATGTCGTGTACAAAGTCATTCAGAGAAGGGGTGTCTTTTTCAGGAATTCTCTCTCGGTTATAACTTGTGGAATTAGAATAATTCCATAATGTAATTCAGTAATTGATAGAAGTTGAATATGCAAATCCACCTATGTTGTCATCAAAGAAATTGGATCAACGCTATGAATGTATATTTAATGGCATAATCTCATCAAAGATTATTTGCACATGGAACAAGATCCTTGCTTAAAATGCTTGATTGATGTATGATGTCTTTTCCAATGCCAAGTAGAGACACATTGAATATCTCAGTTTCGTGAGACATTTAACTACCCCATAATTTTTGACAGATGTACACACACATGAAGTGGTGGGACGCTAATACTAAATAGTTAGAACAAGACTTTGAGGGTCTGTATGATTGCAGTGGCATAAAATATCATTAAAACCTGAGATTAATAGGTTGGACTTTTGTTGCTCTATGTATATTTGGTAACATCCTTTTCTGCTTGGCTAGGGAGCTCCTAATCGACATTACATTTCACTTTCTGATTTTGTTCAATGGCATTTAAGCAGTTAATGCCTACTTTATTGCTCACCTGTGTGCAGGTATTCCCTGGCGCTTGGACAGCCATTTTTGTTTCACTGGACAATGATGGTATTTGGAACCTTCGTGCACAGAACCTCGACTCATGGTATCTTGGTCAAGAGGCTTATGTGAGTGTAGTGAATCCAGAGATCACAGATAAAACTGAGATTCCTTTGCCAGAAAACACCATCTATTGTGGTGTACTCTCATCCTTACAGAAGTAAGAGATTTAGTTATGAGGCAGATCTTTCTGTATTTTTTTTTCCAAACTAAATTAACTGTTATATGGATGGGATTCGATCTTATTTCTGACTCTACAATCTCATAAACCAATGCTTTTGTATGATATTTCCTGTTGCAGGGACCAGGCCCAGAGGGTAAAGTTTTCTGGCGCACCATATACTGCCAAGACAATCAGGACAATTGCTGTTGCATTTCTTTTAACTTCTATGGCAATTTTTATCAGGTAAATAGCTACAAGAAATCATGAGCATGCATTGTAAGTCAAACCACTGAATGAGTTGCAAAAGTCGATGTGGTCTGATGCATAAATAGGAGAAAAATTGGTAAGTGGGCTCTGTTATTCCAATATAATTCCAGATCAAGTAGAGGGATGAATTACGTGTCTTGGTTCCACAGTGTATCTTTGTATTTTTATTGTTTTTCTTTCTGTAATTTAGCAGTTGTATGACATGTTAATGGAGTATATTTTCATAATAGGGGGAGTTGAATGTGGATAATAGTAGTTGATTCATGTGGTTGTTTTAAGTTATTTGAATGATCAGCAAATGTATTGATTTCACTGTTTTGGAGGGAACAATGTACCAGGTTAAGAATATCTCGGTTGTTTATTGCATTTTATCATATGGATTTCAGAACGTACTCCCCCCCTCCCCCC